CAAGGGGGATGCCGTGTCGGTAAACAAGCAAAGCACTACATAGGAAGGGTCATTAAAATGTGGTACCTTCTGTCAGCATCACCGTGACCGCCAGGCTGGCCAGGATCGCTCGCAGGACTGTCGTCTTCATTTTTATTCCGCTGCTCCGTGCTCTCTGGCTGTCCTTCTCCTCTTCCCCGCTTTATTTTCCGTTCTCTCTCTCTTTCTCTTTTTTTTTCTTTATAATTCGCTCCTCGTTAACCCGATCCCCCCTCCCCTCCCGCTACGTTCCAGTGCGGTCGTCGTCGGCGATGGGAAGCGGCGAAAGGATGGAGGAGAGTGCGAAGCAGCCGTGCAGGGATTGATGGAGGAGGATGGAAGGAATTCTAGACTGGGAAGCTGTAGCAAGCCCCCACCTTCCTCGCTCCCTCTCTCTGCCTCTCCTGTTTCCCTCTCTCTCTCTCTCTTCCAAAGCCCCCTCCTCCTCCGATTCCCCTTTCACCCCCCTTTAACACACACATACAAACAGACACACACACTCTTCCTTTGCCTTCTGCAAACCATATGGGCTTTCTGACAGATGGAAGTTGACTGGCAGGGCCGAAGAGCCAATCAGGACCTGTGTCAGGCGGGGGCTTGCCTCTCCGATGGCAGGTGGGGGAGCCAATGGGAAGGTGTTGAGGTTTTGGTTGGGGAAAGAAAAAAAGGGAAGTATGATTTGGTGGGCTTGTTGAGGCTTTAACTTCATCCATCCACCAGGCTTTCCTTACTGCGGAACTGTGATGTGCGGGCTGACCCTAGACTCTCTCTCTTCACTCTCCTTTCCTCTCTCTTTTCTTTTCTCTCTCTCTACCTTCCCCTCTATTTTGTTTTCACTCTCTCCTTTCCTTTCGGTTTTCACTCACTTTTCTCTCTCTTTCTCCTTCCTTTTTTCTCTCTTCTTTCTTATCCCTCTCCCCACTCTCTACTTTCCTCTCTCTCCTTTCCTTTCTCTCTCTCCCTTCCCCTCACTCTCTACTTTCTCTCCTTTCCTTTCTCTCTCTCCCTTCCCCTCACTCTCTCCTTTCCTTCTATCTCCTTCTCTCTCTTTTCCTTTCTTTCTCCATTTCTCTCTCCTATCCTTTCCTCACTCTCTCCTTTCCTTTCCTCACTCTCTCCTATCATTTCCTCTACTCGCTCTCTCCCTTCCTCTCTCCTTTCTTCTCCACACTCTCTCCGCTCCCCCCTCTCTCCTTTCCTCTCTCTTTTTCTCTCCCCCCTCTCTCCTTTTCTCCCTCTCCCTCTCTCTTCTCTCTCCTTTCCTCTCCTCTGCATCTCTTCCCCTCTCCCGGATTGGTGACACAGCAGTTTGCAAACAAATAATAATGATAATCCACATTTATTTTCATGACAGTTTCGGGAGAACACAGAGATTCAAAAAACATGGAAAAGTGACTTTGCTTAAAGAGGAACTCTAGCAAGTATCAAAATCACTAAAATTCCCAACCCCGCACTGCAAGGGTTAACTGCTCGTTTTGGTGTAGGTACCAGAATACAGAAGACATACTCACCTGATTCTCGGTCCCTCAGCAGTGAGCTCTCACCTCTCTCCCCCTCCACTTCGGCTGTGAAATGTCCCTCGGTGTCCGCATGTCTTTGACTGGGGGTGTCTCTGCTTTTAAGGATCATCCAGTTCTAGGTTGACAACGTTGCCTTAGCATGATTCAATGCAGGAACAGCATTGTCACCCTAGAACCAAGGATGGCTCATACTAACAGGTTTACAAGATGGCTTAAAAAACAAAAAAACAAAGCAGGGGTAAGCTAGCAAATAATATGATATGCCGTCTCTTTACCCATTGGTCAGGCCTCGGTGGCCTTGTGGGAAATCCGGCTCTGTATGTACCCCACCTCAGCCAGCCAAGGAAGTATCATTCTACTGCATTCTCCTTCTTGTGAAACAAAAGCACAAGTGCCACATATAGAGTGGGTTGAACTTGAATTCAACATCTAAAGAAGGAAGGGGCATCTGTGATCAATCATGGGTAGTTCAATGATGCACTGAGAGTAGGCTGTAATGCCAAAATCCTTCAAGACCAGAGTGGATCTACTGACACCACGGGGAGGAGGATTTATAAATCATCTGCATAGCCACGTTCCAACTGAATACCAATCACACATCCTTCTGGCCACTAGATGGAGCCGAGGAGCATAGCAATTCCTAAGCTCTTTGTCTCCATCTAGAGGCAAGAATGCTGTGATTTATATTTATTTAAAAATCATCCCCTATGTATGCCAGGTATACACGTCAGAGGGGGATCAATGCAGGGCTGCGCTAGGGATTCTTTTTTTCTGGCCACTATAGATTCACAAAAAGTTAAAGCAGTCTTCGTGTAGTGGTTTTCACTATATTACCATATTTCCTTTACTGATTCATCATGGTCAAAGGTTACAGAGCGCAGTGAGCCTCATAGGGCCCGATGGTAGGTTTTAATCAGGCAAGCAAGCTGCACGTGTTGTGGTGTCTCTTTAGCTAACCCATAGTGTTTTGGTAATCCTTTGTCATGTAGCCAGAATTCTGAATGAACCCTCTACACACTGCTATACAACCTTATGTATTAACTACCTTACGTCCATGGCCGTTTGTGAACGGCCAGATGGACGTCTGCTCAGAGCGGGAGGGCGTCTTAAGACGTCCTGCCCCTCCCCCCTCTCGTGTCCGCGCTGAGCGCCGCACACGAGAGGGAAAACCGTCAGCATGTAAACAGCCAGCGAAGTTTCTATTAAAAAACAGGGATTCTTGGTTTGCATCTATTGCAAAGCATTTAGAATCTGGTCATCTTCATCAAAGTTGTCTGTCTCTGGCCAGTCCTTACCACACTGTGCAATATGTCCAATACTGACTTGCTTCTAGCACACCAGTATAGACATATAGAGGCAATATGGGGCAGACAGTTTGAGGAGAGCTACAGGTCTGGTTATTGATCTACACTATGAAGTGGAAATGGAGTGATGTCTGTACTCAAATTCAAACAGTATCTATCTATCTATCTATCTATCTATCTATCTATCTATCTATCTATCTATCTATCTATCTATCTATCTACAGTATCTATCTATCTATCTATAGACTATATTGCCAAAAGTATTGGGACGCCCGCCTTTACAAGTACATGAACTTTAATGGCATCCCTGTCTTAGTCCGTAGGGTTCAATATTGAGTTGGCCCCGCCCTTTGCAGCTATAACAGCTTCAACTCTTCTGGGAAGGCGTCCACAAGGTTTAGGAATGTGTCTATGGGAATGTTGGACCATTTGTGAGGACAGGTACTGATGTTGGAGGAGAAGGCCGTGCTCGCAGTCTCCGCTCTAATTCATCCCAAAGGTGTTCTATCGGGTTGAGGTCAGGACTCTGTGCAGGCCAGTCAAGTTCCTCCACCCCAAACTCCCTCCTCCACCATAATCCCCCCTCCTCCAAACTTTACACTTGGCACAATGCAGTCAGGCAAGTACCGTTCTCCTGGCAACCGTCAAACCCAGACACGCCCATCGGATTGCCAGACAGAGAAGCGTGATTGGTCACTCCAGAGAACACGTCTCCACTTCTCTAGAGTACAGTGGCGGCGTGCTTTACACCACGGCATCCCACGCTTTGCATTGCACTTGGTGATATTAGGCTTGGATGCAGCTGCTCGGCCATGGAGACCCATTCCATGCAGCTCTCTGCGCACTGTTGTTGTGCCAATCTGAAGGCCACACCAAGTTTGGAGGTCGGTAGCTATTGACTCTGCAGACAGTTGGCGACTTCTGTGCACTGTGCGCTTCAGCATGCGCTGACCCCGCTCTATGATTTTACGTGGCCTACCACTTTGTGGCTGAGTTGCTGTTGTTCCCAGTTGCTTCCATTTTGTTATAATACCAGTAACAGGTGACCGCAGAATATTTAGTAGCAAGGAAATTGACTTATTGCACAGGTGACAACCTATCACGGTACCACGCCTGTAGTCACTGAGCTCCTGAGAGCGACCCATTCTTTCACAAATGTTTCTATAAACGTCTGTATGCCGAGGTGCGTGATTTTATACACCTGTGGCCATGGAGGTGATTGGAACACCTGAATCCAATGATTTGGCGGGGGAGGGGCCCAATACTTTTGCTAATATAATGTATATATATACTTATTAATTAATGTATTCAATTTATATATTCTGAATTAACCCCCTGCACTCCTCTACTCTACTGTGCAAAATGCCAAATACTTGCTAGTTTACAGCACTCTGTAATGAAAAAAGTGCCAATTCAGGAGGGATCGCTGTGACACAGTTGGCCGGCTTCAGCATATTTTGCAATATCTGTGAACTAAGAATTCCTGTCTTATGAAAACATTTGCTAAAAATATGTTAGATTATAAAGCAGTGTGCTTTATAATCTAAACCTGTGCGAGGATTCATTCAGAATTTTCAACGTCAAGAGGACCTGTGACTTTGCTATCAATAGGCAATGTGTCATATTCGCTTTAAGGATCCATCACTGTGCCACTAGACTACATACACCGATCAGCCCCAACATTGTGACAACTGAGAGGTGAGGGGATAAAACTTTGATCATCTGGTTACAATGACACCAGGGGGTGGGGGGATATATTACAATGGCACCTGGAAGTGGGGGGGATATATTCTAATAGCACCT